GTGAGTCATGGACAACACCCTTTAAACAGAGTACAAATAACTGTGCTGTCATTATCATATCACGTGAGGGAAGGAAGGTAGAAATTCTTGCAATTCTGTGCCAAAATATGCAGCAGAGGAGGTTTTCACTTTGGAACACTCAACAATTTAGCGGCAGAGATCAGAATAGAATTTGCCAGTCTAGATGCTGTTTCAGTCTATTTAAGTATAGCATCTTAAGAGTGTGTTTAAGTACAGAATATGATACAAGTACATACTGTTTAAGTGAGGCTAAAGCAGAGTGACTTGTGAACTAAGCTTTTTAACAGGATTACTTTGCCCACTATTTTAAGAAAAAAAGGCTATTCTCTTCCCTGTCTTTCCCCAAGAAAGTATAAGCAGTAGAGAGACATTTACATGCAGACTCTCTCTGTGGTAATAGTGATTGCCTCTGGAGTAGAGGAACTGAGGGCAAAGGTGAGAAAATGACTTAATTTTCACTGTGAACCACTGTGTACTGTTTGAATTAAAAATCATATGAATGCATTACATTTTCAAAAGAAAGTATTTTAAGATTGTTTTCTTGACAAACAGTACTGGAACAACTGCATGTCCATATGCAAAAAAACTGAACTTCAGTCCACACTCTGCACTATATACAAAAATTAACCTAAAAATGGATAACAGACCTAGATGTAAGACTATCAACTATAAAACTTCTAGAAGAAAATTTAAGAGAAAGTCTTTTTGATCTTGGGCTAGGCAAAATTTTTCAGATACAATAAAAGTATATAATACATTAAAAAAAACCTGATCAACTGAACTTCATCAGAATTTAAGAACTGCTCTTTGGAAGACACCATTAAGAAAATGGAAGGACAACCCACAGGCTGGGAGAATATATGTGCAAAAGCACATATCAGACAAAGGACTTAAAGACATTCAACATAGTAAGAAAAAAAGAACCCAATTACAAAAATGTATATATAAATGTATTGCAAATACTTCTCCCACTCTTGGGTTACGTTTTCACTCTCTTAATGGTGCTTTTTTTAATGAACAGGAATTCTTAATTTTAATATATCCCAGCCTATCCATGTTGAAAAAAATGGACAAATATTTGAACACATTTACCAAAACAGATTTACAGATGGCAAATAAACACGAGAAAAGATGTTCAACATATTTAGTTATTAAGAAAATGTAAATTAAAGCCATAGTGAGATTCAAATGCTTAAAAACAAAACTGACAGTAAGCAGAGGAGATGGAACTCACATATACTGCTTCGGGGAATGGAACATGGTACAACCACCAGCCTGGCAGTATCTTATAAAGTTATTCACACACTTATCATGTGACCAGGTGGTCCCACTACTTGGTATTTACCCAACTGAAATGAAAACCAATATTCATACAAAAACCTGTACGTAAATGTGGCTTATAGTGGATTATTGCCCCAAACTGAAAACAACAATGAAAAACTACCCAGAAATAAAAAGAAACTACTGATGTACACAATAACATGGATGAAACTCAAATACATTATACTGAATAAGAAAAGTCAGACTCAAAGGCTACATACTGTCCAATCATATGACATTCATATAAAGGCAGGACTATAGAGAAAGAAAATAGATAAGTGGTTGTAGCAGTATCAGGTAGGAGAAGAGGTTGACTAGGAAATTGGACAGCTGTATACATGATGAAATTAGAACACACCCTAACACCACACACAAAAATAACCTCTGAAGACCTAAATGTAAGACCAGATACTGTAAAACTCTTAGAGGAAAACAGGCAGAACACTCTCTGACATGAATAGCAGCAAGATCTTTTTTGATCCACCTCCTAGATTAATGAAAATAAAAATAAATGGAACCTAATTAAAAAGCTTTTGCACAGCAAAGAAAACCAACAAAATGAAAAGACAACCCTCAGAATGGGAGAAAATATTTGCCAATGAAGCAACCAACAAGGGATTAATCTCCAAAGTATACAAACAGCTCATGCAGCTCAATATCAAAAAAAAAAAAAACCACAACCCAATCAAAAAATGGGCAGAAGATCTAAATAGACATTTTTCCAAAGAAGACATGCAGATGGCCAAAAGGCACATGAAAAGATGCTCACCATCACTAGTTATTAGAGAAATGCAAATCAAAACCACAATGAGGTCACACCGGTCAGAATGACCATCATCAAAAAGTTTACAAACAATAAATGCTGGAGAGGGTGTGGAGAAAAGGGAACCCTCCTACACTGTTGGTGGGAATGTAAATTGGTATAGCTACTATGGAGAACAGTATGCAGGTTCCTTAAGAAACTAAAAATAGAACTACCATATGATCCAGCAATCCCACTCCTAGGCATATATCTAGAGAAAACTGTAATTTGAAAAGATACATGCACCCCAGTGTTCACTGCAGCACTATTTACAATAGCCAGGACATGTAGCAACCTAAATGCCCATTGACAGAGGGATGGATAAAGAAGATGTGGTGTGTTTGTGTGTGTACACACACACACACACACACACACACACACACACACACAATGGAATATTACTCAGCCATAAAAAAGGAACGAAATAATGCCATTTGCAGCAACATGGATGGACCTAGAGATTGTCATACTGAGTGAAGTAAGAGAAAGACAAATATATGATATCGCTTATATGTGGAGTCTAAGAAAATGGTACAAATGAACTTATGTACAAAACAAAAATAGAGTCGCAGATGTAGAAAACAAACTTATGGTTACCAGGGGCGAAAGGGAGGGAAGACTGGGATTGACACATACACACTACTAACATATAAAATAGATAACTAATAAGGACCTATTGTATAGCACAGGGAACTCTACTCAATACTCTGTAATGGCCTGTATGGGAAAAGAATCTAAAAAAAGTGGATACATGTATATGTATAACTGATTCACTCTGCTGTACACCTGAAACTAATACATCATTATAAATCAACTCTACTCCAATAAAAATTAAAAACAAAAGTATGTGGGGAGTGGGGGGGGCGGGAGTAACAGGGAATTTTCTGAAGTGATGGCAATGTTCTTTATTTTGATTGTGTTGTTGCCTAACTACATATTTGTCAAAACTTACAGAACTGTACACTAAAAGGTACATTATAATGCAAATGATACCTAAAAAATGCACTGTCCAGTATGACTTTTAAGAAAATGGATACTGGATAAACTGAGTATGTGAGTAAGGATTTTCAAGGGAACCTGTTTTGTATTATCAAATAATTACACCTAGTTAGAAAAACATTTACTGTGCTATTCTCTTAAACAAGACTGCTCCTTTGAGGGCATTTTACATGTGAATACAGATTAGCTATTTTCTGATAAGAGGCTAGAAGGCCAAAGAATAGTATGTGGGGTGAATCCCAGTTAAACATGAATCATAAATGACACATCTCTGAAATGATATAAGTCCATGAGAAAATAATTTAACATAAATAATACATTCATTTAATTAATACACTTAATTATATTTTACAATAAATGCTGTTTGAGATCTAAGAATGATAAATCTAACCCTAACTTGACATCTTAAAAACTAAGCAACTATTCTCACTTAAGAAATATTTGTGGCTATTATAATAGTGTCACAAATATTACACAGGCAGTAATTGCATACAGTTATATAAAATGTAGGAAACTTTGCTTGGTAAAAGTAAACACATCAGATACATCTCAATAACCAGGTGGTGGCAAAGGTGGGGAACCAACTCTGAGGCAAACTAGTTTTCTGGATTCTCGGGTTTCCTTTGCACTCTGTTACTATGAGCGCTAAACTGCTCTGCGGTAGCTTCAGTCTACTTATAGGAACCCACTATATGCTTTTAATCCAAACCCTCCATATCACCATCTATTCTATGCCATTCTTCTAGGTGGCACACAGTCAAGCCACAGAAGCGAAGACTAGATGTGTATTTCAGTTTTAAAGTTTTGTGAATCAGTAGCTATAAAAATTACGCAGCACCTTTCTTTCGACGTGCTATTGCTACGTTAGCAAACTAAAAAGAGGCAGGAAGTACAGTGAAAGCCTGAATTATGGAATGGTCTACCTAATAACTCATTCTACTCATATTTGGTGCCTTAGAAAATGTACCATCTCTAAGTCCTGATACTCCCCCCTCCCACTGTTAAGTCTCAGCTATTGAGAACTGAATATACAGTAACTCTTTTTTTCCTTAAAAGTCTTTGAAATTAGATTTCAATCCACCAAACAGTAGCAATACAAAAATGGAAATCTGGCTCATGTTTATATATTTAAAGGTCTCAAAGCATTTAATTACGTCAGATCTCATCAAGCACTGAAAAGCTGTTTCAGTAATTTCTTAATGAAGGCATACTGGTGTAGGTCATTCTTTCTTACATCTTCCTTCATTTATATTTATACTCAGAACAATTTCTTTCTGGTTCTTTCAGTAACAAGTGTGTTAGAAGCAACCTTTTATATACCTGATGAAGTGCTCCTGCTGGTAAGACGATGGCATCACCAAGGAACTGAATAAGAGTGCAGGCTTTGACTCCATATTCCTCAAGCAGTCTTTGGCGAAGCTTTTTGTTCACATACCAACTCTGGTCACGAATTGGATCATGTTCTGGTAGAACTTCAAGGCCTTGTTCTTTTGAAATCTGAAATATAGATTAAAATGAAAATATATACCCCAATTTAAGTAAAGAAAATGGTAAATCCTGTTCCGTTAAATTTCAGTTTTCTTTACAATAACAGTCTGTTCTCAGAATCTTCTGAAACGATGACTGAGCTTAAGTTAAAGAAAATGATATTCTACAATTGGAAAAGCCAAAGGACATGAAAACAATATTGCACACTGATACGCTATTAATAAAGTAAATCATACTCCCTTACCTTCTTCCACTATGAAGTTCTCTTTTAAAAAAAAAATAGTTTTATTAACTATTATTTATTTCTTTTTCAGTCTTTTTTTTAGGGGGCTGCACCGTGCAACATGTGGGATCTTAGTTCCCTGACGAGGGATCAGACTCGTGCCCCCTGCAGTCAGAAGCACAGAGCCCTAACCACTGGTACAACAGGGAATTCTCTCTACTATGAAGCTTTCATCCATTTGGTTCCTTACAATTATTTTAAGAGTATAGCACAAAGACGGGGAAAAGCTTAGTTTAGTAACTTTTTTCCAAAAGCCAAACCATTTGAATGTGTGGACATCATAAACATTCATTCATTCATTCAGCCGCATGGGGTCTTAGTTGTGGCACTTGGGATCTTCGTTGCAGCATCTCTTAGTTGCGGCATGCGGGATCCAGTTCCCTGGCCAGGTATTGAATCTGGGCCCCCTGCATTGGGAGTGTGGAGTCTTAACCACTGGACCCCAGGAAAGTCCCCATAAACATTTCTTTTTGCTGCTCTTTTTTTAAGGTAGGTACACAGATAAATAACCTTTATATTGCTAACCTTGTAACCCTTGACAAATCACTTTCAAGGGACCCTCTAACGAACCAGTGAAATGTTCTGCTTTAAAAAGCATAGTTTATAACATTTTAAATTAAAAGACTGTTAGGTAGTTCTGGGATAAAATAGTAGTTACAGGGCCATAGCTCCCTTGCCTCACACTGACCAAAGACAGACCTTAAGTCCATTCAGAAAGAAGATGAAGTATAATAAGAAAAACAGCAATTATGGTCCATTAAAAGAAATCCCTATAATTACAAAATTCAGAAAATATTTGAGAAAAGGGTTTGAACCAATTTCAGATTAATGTGTCACTTTTTTAACAAGTATACAATTACTCAATTTCAATCTATTCAAATAAGTATCACAGATATGAGAGAGCAGAATTACTGTCTAGGTCAACAGCCAAAAATACCAATACAATAAAAATTCTGCCTTCTTTACGTGTTTCTATGACAGGTTTTATATTCTATAATTCCAATCACTACTTTTCATCAAGGGTAACATCTGACTCATTAACAGGTTCTTTACTCTAAGGGGATGAAGGAGTACTACCAACTGAGAAGAAGCTGCCATTCAAATTCCTCAAAAGAAAGGAGCTTTTGATTTTCAACAGCAAAAAATTCCATCCTCCTAAGTAAAAATTACTCAATCATCTTATACTGCTGAATGCCCATGAAGTTACATTAAAATTTAAGTCTCTGCTCAAGGTGAAGAGATAAAACTGTCTGTAACCTAAATTATACCTTCTGAAGAAATTCCCTTATCTTGTCAACATCTTTCCCAGCATAAATATGCCACAGAGCACCAGGTATTTCACTTGAGTCCTTCAATCGTTTTCTTAAAATGTCATCTAAATCTTCTTCTTCAAATTTCTTAAGTATTCCTGAAACACAGAATATATTCAAACTGGTCAGTAAAGACTCCACCAGAAAGCCACATCTCCTACAATTGATCTATCATAGTAGCATAGTGCCTGACTAGACTGGGACTCTTAAAGAGAAGATAAACCCAGTTCTACATGAAAACTGTTACGACTATAAGAGCAGAGAACAATGAGCCGGGGTAACTGGGAACAGAATCAACAGTAACTTTCCCAGTTCATTTGTTTTCTGTAAACCAAAGGATGGGAGATGAAAACGCAAGGACTTTTAACTCAAACATAACCAAGTTTCATCCTGTACCAAGGGTGTGGTCATAACAATGTTTTGTACTCACAGCATTTCATAAAAAGGACTATCGTGACCCCTATATGGTAGGCAAGGATCATAACCTCTACTTTACAGCTCAGCAAAATGGTTCAGTGAGGAGAAGGGATTTATTCATTGCCATGACTAATGAATGGCAGAGCAAAATGTCTTCCGACTAATTTCTGGGAGATCTCATTTACTATTATTGGTTAATCTGTAATCAAATGCAAAAGCTTCGGGTGCTATGACTGAGGAGGCATCAGGCCATTCTTCTGAACTATTGACAAATTAAAAACTGCACATATATATGCACAGAAGAAATGTTAACTGTAGTTACCTCTGAGTGAAGGACAGGAATGTCGTTTTCAAATGCCTGATTTTACTACAATGAACATTTTAGTATTTTATTTTTAATACAGCAGGTTCTTATTAGTTATCCATTTTATACATATTAGTGTATAGATGTCCATCCCAATCTGCCAATTCATCCCACCCCCACCCCACAATGAACATTTTAAAGAAATGTTTTAAGAGAAAAGGAAATCTATTGCCTAATACAAAGAACATAGCAAATGTTCCCTCATTTGTGACAGTTATATCTTTTTTATCTTTAAAGTGAGCTGCAAAGATTTCTTGAAGTTATACATTAGGTGTTTACAATATGCCAAGCACTGTCCTAGAATCTTGGGGATTAGAGTTAAGAAAGACCCAGTTAAGACTTCACAGAATAAAAGATGATATTAATAAGTGTAGGCAAATAAACAATATCACATAGTGGTTCAGCACAGTCATGCGAGTACAAAAGGTACACAAAGACTGGGTCGGTCCTCGAATGTTATCTTTTAATGAAAAAGATAAAAAGAAAATTGTTACTGCTCTGTGAATTCTAAAAAGGCTGCTAGAAAGAATACATCAGATATTTCCTAATTTGTGACAGTGAAATCACAAGGAAGAAAATGGTTGCTGGAGCAGAGAAAGTTTATTCTTTAAATGAAGACCTCTAGGGGGAGGTGACAATCTGAGCTACATTTTGAGGGATGAATACAGGAATTTGCTAGGGAGACAGGAGGTAGGAGAGCCACTGTATGCAGAGGAAAAAGCATGTGCTTTATGTAGGTCGGTTTTCTTGATGTGTTTTAAGCATTATTATAACACTAAAACATTCCTTTTTTTGTGACCATCTAAAAAATTGGCAGAAACTTTAAAGAAAGACAGTCCAAGAATTAAAGTCCAAGAATTAAAATTAAAAGCTGATGACTTTTTCTCAAAAGATCAAACATTATGCTATGAATGAGGGATGGGAGGTGAGCAGGGGGAGGGAGATGAGCAGAACAAAGATGAATAAGGAAGTTCTAGCATTTAAGGAGATGAAAGAAAAGTAGGGGAGAAAAGCAGATGTAACCTCTGTATTGTAGACTAAGTGCTATAATATCTAATACAATGTAAATGCTAGGTAAATAATTGTAAATACAATGTGAGTGCTATGTAAACAGTTGCTGGCTACAGCAAACTCCTTTTGCTTTTTGAAAGCCGGCACATAGCAAATTCAAGTTTTGCTTTTTGAAACTTACTGGAGTATTTTCTTTTTGCTGTGTTTTTTCTGTCCTTGACTGGTTGACCCCACAGGTGCAGAACCCGCAGATACGAAGGGGCAACTGTAACTGTGTGGCACCATAGGCTTTGAAAGGAGAAGTAATCTGATATCAAAGGTCACACACATTTCTGTCCTAGAGCTGAGACTACAACTCAAGTGTGCCTGACTCTCAAATCCTTGGGAGTAGGGGAGACAAGAGTTTTTATCAATTACAATCAATAGAGTCAGTTAAAGAAGCTGAGAAACTATGAGTTTCTACAGTTTTGGAGGAACTTAGGTTGTGTATTATAGAAGCTGTCAAATAGACACAAAAACTGAGTGAATATTATAATAAACCCCCATGTCCTGAGCACCTAGCCACTAAGCTGCAGATATATTCTGGGCTCCAGATAGAATTGTTGAGCTAACTGGTCGGAAATCATGTATAGAATTTCACAGGAAGTGCATGTAAACCAGAAAAGGGAGAGGATAAAGTCTATAACTCTAGAAAAGTCTGAAACTCCACCATATGAAGAATGAGGGGAGTAGTGTTACTGAAGCCAAGGAAACTATTTGAAGAAGAGGTGTCGTTTACTACAGAGGGTACAAATAATAAGAGGACCACAAAGAAACCATTGTATTGAAATATGACTATCAGTGAAAGCCACAGCAATAGCAACAGTACAGTAATCTCAGTGGGGCGGCAGGCAGGGACCAACCTGCATTGAGCTGAAATATGAAAGGGAGGTGATAGACACAGCAAATAATGTTATGAGGGCAGGAGCAATAGGATGGTGGCAAGGAAGACAAGGTCTGAAGAAGGCTTTTAAAGGAAGGAGGAAAAGTCTGAAGTTTGCTCCTACTCTGAGAAAAGAAGCCAGTGGAGAAAGTAAGTTGAAGGACCTATGTCTATAAAGAAGGGAATGATAGATGGAACAAGGTTTTAGAAAGAAACCTAGAGGACAGACTCTAAAACCTATGCACTGGATTGAACAGTTATTTCTACTTGGGAGAAAAGGCCCCTTCTCTCTGGTACTAGAGGGGAAAAAAGAATGCTTTAGACACAAACATGCCTTAATCATCTTCAGAGCTCAAGGACCTAATTTCTGTTCTTCACTAAATGTTTATAAGTGAGCTTACCAGTTTATTTTCATAAACCCAATATTTAATAATAGGAAATGAGCAAATTAAAAAAATTCACTTTTAAAATTAAAATTCCTTTTGTGTTAAAAAAAAAAACCAGGTAAATTAATCACAGCTCCAAATAAATATTAAAATATCCCAATATCCACTGCAATTTTTTTGGGAATCTTTGATGTTAACTCAGAGGCTGACATTCTGGATAATATTATTGTGTGTGGTTATTCAACTGTTATTCCAAAGACCACTATTCTTTAAGTTTCTTTACCTGCTTTTGAGAGAATGCCATTTCCTTTCGCTATGCCAACATACACTAAAATATTCACAACGTCAGAAACTTCAACATGTAGATTTGTTGTTCCTATATCATGATCTTTAGCAGCAGCTACACCTGTGTATAAAATGAAGTTTTATTTAGCATAACACTTTATATATCCTAGATATTCCTTCCAAAATCAGCTCTATGAGGAAAATCTGTTAATTGTAATTTGAGTTTTAGTCTCCTTTTTCCAAAACCTGCTCACAAAATATCACAATCCATGAAATGTACCATAAAAATCAAATTAATAGAAAATGTAACTATATTTTATAAGGAATGAGCAGGTACTTAACTATATATTGGCTATTAATACCTAATATACACTGCTTGACTCAGAAAAAGATTTCAATGGATTATTAAAGGAACGGATTTAGCAGAATCTAAAAATGATTAGATAATTTATCTTTGGAAGGAAGTTAAACTTCCATATACTCCAAGTTGATAGAAATGCAAATATATACTTACCATAAGCACTGCACAACCTGGGTCCTAGATCAGGGCGTACAAAAAATCCTGGCAAATGAGAGGCCAAATTGAATTTTCCTTCTGGATTACAATATTCTGGCAATGGCAGGCTTTTTAAAAGGTCTTCATATCTGAAGAATAACATTGACTTCTTTTGAATAAAGGTTTACATTCTTAAGTACTTTCAAATATATAAATGTTCAAGTTGCTAAACTTTCCTTAAGGCCTTTAACAGTTAACACTTTCCTTGACTTCAAAGTTTAAATGAATGCATAATACATGGATAAGCAAAGAATAGAAGTGATACTGACTAAAACCGCAATTCTCTTTCCTTGAACACAGCAAATTGAAAGCACCAAAGACAAGAGAGGTCCCAAATGGGGCCTCCTCTGACAGCATCCTCTTCTTTACTGCCCTAACGAAGACTTCCCCCTGCTCAGACTACAGAGATTCAGTTCTTTCTTTTTTTATTACTTATTTTTAATTGAGGAGGATACTGCCTAAAGCTCACATTTGTAGATCATTATCCCACTTCTGGGGATAATCTCAGCTCAACCTCAAAGCCAAGAGTCAAAATAACAAGTATAAACAGACATACATACCTTGCTGGCATCATAGTCTTGAAGTCTTCTCCTGAAGGGCAATCTTTCAGTTTTAAAACAACTGTTTCTCCACCTTTCGTTTTTTGCCGTTCTGTAAGAATGCAATTGATTATTAAAAGATAATCTCTGTCTTTTTATTAATGTTTAGAGGAAGGAAGAAATGTGAAATGAATGAATACCTCTATTATTGTACAGTAGGTAAAGAATGCTTGCTTATGGACTTTTCTTATGTATTCATGTAGTATTAAGATGTTTGTTCCTTATGAACACAGATATCTGTAATATCACCATAAAATTCTTTAAAAAAAGCCTCTTTACAATTGTTATTAAAATTACAGTCTCACATTTTTACTTTTACTTTTTCAAAATGTTTTACACAAAGTATGTTATTCAAGTTTCAAATGTTGTGGGGGTTGCCAAAAATATTCCCCAAGAATATTAATATATTGAATATGACATATGGAAACATAGTATAAATGACTTTTTTTTTTTTTTTTGGCTGCACCGTGTGGCTTGCTTGTGAGATCTTAGTTCCCTGACCAGGGAATGAACCCGGGCCTCGGCAGTGAAAGTGCTGAGTCCTAACCACTGGACCACCAGGGAATTCCTAAAATGACTTCTTTATGGTTACAGAAAATGAGGGGTAGAGCCAGGAATAGGACCCAGTCTCCTACTTCCAAGTACTTGTTCCTTTTTACTGGACAACAAAGTAATACAGACATTTTAAAGATTAAACAATTTATCATTTGGGGGGGAAATGTTTAAGAAAACAGTAAAACAAAGAAACAAAAAACAACATACTTGAAACTTCTTCAAAACCGTCCCAGAATTCCTTAACATTGGCATTTGAAATAATGCTGTCTTTGCAGTTCAGGAGATCAGCCTGGTGGTCTCCAAAATCAAGACTAATTGAGTCCGCCTTCCACAAGCTAATGTTCATTTTCTTATGCACACCAGAAACCACTGCAGGCTTATAAATAAACAGACAGATAAAGAAAAGTTAAAAGGTATATGCACACTTCCAAAATTTGATTTTACACACACACACAACAGACGGTTAACATGTTGAATTTTAGGACTAATGACAAATTGTGAGAATAAAAGAGGCTTTCAAAAATAGTCCCTGACCTGGAAAGATGTTCACAATATATTTTCAAAGAGAAAAGCTGATAAGAGAATGCCATGTACATGGCAGAGTACACTGCCATTTTGAAAACAAAAAATATGTAGTGTTTTTCAGGAAAGAGTCTGAAAGGCTATACTAGAAAATTTCTAGGCAATATAAATGTTTTATTTACAGACTCCTTTTTAATAGACAAAACATAACCTTATATATTTGTATATATGCAATATATGTAAATAAGATTTTTAAATAAAATACAGAATCCTTGGGATTAAAACATAATTTATATACATTCCGATTTTATATCACCTAAAACACATTCTTTACCTCTACAAGGATCATGACAAAAATATTAAACAACCAAGTGCAACAACAATAAATTTCAAGTCGAATGACCAAATTCCCTGAAAGTGAATCTCTCCTTTGAAATCACATGAATTCAAATTCCCTCACGGCTCTCTAACCCAAAAACCAACAATTGAAGATTTGTGGTTTTAAAACTCCAATGCCGATGTAAAAAAAGGCCTCTAAAGGCAATCTGATGCATTATTCTTAGGTTTCTTTTTTTTTTTAATTCCTTTATTATAAATGAAAGGTAAAAGAGAACACAAAGTTATGACGTAAGAGTCTCTTGTAAAAGATGTTATTTTTAAGTACTCTTAAAACTCACAAGATAATAAAATTTGAGGAATGATAAGGGCAGAATAACCTCAAGCTAGGGTTATCACAAAAAGGTATCTCAAAAGAAAAGGAATAAACAACAGCAAAAACCACCTTAAAGAAGTTTGGTTAACCACTTGGGTAACTGCAACATTAAACTTCCTTTCAATGGGCTAATAATATATCCAACTATTAAAACAGTTTCAGCTATTAGATAATTAACTACTGCTGACAATTCACATATTAACTCCTAGCCCTTATTATGCCTATCCAGGAATACTCCCATCCAGCCCTGTGCCACTCCTTATTTTGGTAACCAGCAGCTTGGGAAAAATAAAAGTTAAAAAAAATTATAGAGGCACGTTAATTAATAAATCAGAATATTCTAAAGCAGAATTCTTAGGCTACTATCATCATTATCATCTTCCTGAAATACTGAAAGCCTTGCTAATTTGGCTCCTTGCCTCTGGTCTTATTCCCCTCCAATTCAACTTCCAATCTGCTTTGCTGTCAGTTATTTTAAAATGTCGATCTGTACAACACAGGGAATACAGCCAATATTTTATAGTAACTATAAATAGGGTATAACCTTTAAAAAATGTGGATCACTATATTGTACATCTGTAAATTACATAATATTGTACATCAAATATACTTCAATTTAAAAAGTCAATCTGAGTTCTTTGATTCTTCAATTAAAACTGTCATCTACAGGAACAAGTTCAAACTCTTCAGCAAGATATAAAGGCCCCTCATAATCATAACTGTAACCACCTCATTTCCCCATCATTACCCCACAGAACTCTTACTTATGTCAGATAAACAAAGCTACTGAACAGTTCCCCAAACACCTGATCCTTTTTATTTCCAACCTCTTGTCCATCTATAAAACCTTCACTGAACCCCTGAGACATCAATTCATACTAGCCCTTTTGAATTAGTACTCTAGCTTATTCATTCACTCTTTTAGGTTTCCACAGTACCTTAAAGTTCTGAGAACATGTGATGTATTTATAAGACTGTTTAAGCCTATACAAATTTAAGTCGTCTGAATTGTGACGCAGCAATGGCATCAGGGCTTCAAGGGAGAGCCAACCAAAAAAATATATGCTAAATACCGTGTATATGCAATTGCATGGGCGTGTATTTTTCCTAGGGTGAGGAACCAAGCTGTCATTGGATTTTACAAAGCACTAGAGACCTAAAAAGATTAAGAACCATTGTACTAAAATGGTTCTTACTCATTTTTATATGATGTACTCATTTTTATATCCTTAATGGCCAGCACAAACACTAGATTTTATTAGGTGCTCAATAACTCTCTGTTGAATAAAAAAAGGGAAGTAAAATAGCAATGATGTTTTCCAGAATGCAAGAAAAAAACAAGATAATATTAAGTCATGCAAAATCCTAATTTGTGCATTAATGTAAATTACCATCTGAAGTATGTATCAAACATTATTATATCAAAACTCTGGTCAAACAGAAAATCATTTTTATTTGAGCCAAGTTAAATAATGGAGTTTGTCGTTCAAGATTTTATGAACTAACTTATAAATAAATGTTCTATAGGTAAATATTAAAGGCAAAAGCATCTACACTTCTCATCAGTTCAAGAAAACTGCTTTTACTATTAACACTGTGATAGCAGAAATGAATCTGTTAACTAAAATACAAATGTAAAAAAAGGAAGGTGATACCAAACTTTGTGAATATATGGCTTTATTAAAAGTCTGCTAACAAATTGAAATTATAACATCAAATAATCAATGCTTCCCTGTTAATTCATATAAATCTGGCCAAAAAAATAAGGATTCAGAAACAATCATTCTGGTAACTTTTTTGGTGTTTTTGATATCTTCCAACTCAAATGTGTCAAGTATTATCTTTCCCCTTTCTAATCCTAAGGAGAAAACCATTTTTCCTATTCAACCAGCTTTAGTTCCACTCAGAGCATACTAAATCAGCTTAAAATACTCACTTGTCCATGTTTCCAACACTCTTTGAAAAGCTTCCAATTATTAATATTTTTATAATCCTTAAGCCACAGAATATGCTTCTCACAGATCCAAGAATGTGGTATATCACTGTACAATTTATTGTTTTCATCCATGGCAGGTTTTCTGTTTTCTTTAGGTTCTTCTTTGAGCTCTGGTTTTACATTTATCTTAGAGGCTTTATTTGGTGGAATTTTGTTTTCAACAACTGAAGCAATTATATCATCAAGAATGTTTGGCATAGTCCTTCCACTTTTACCACTCTAATAAGGAAAAAAAATTATACTTTCAGGGGAAATGATTACATTTGGAAACTTTTGTTTTTATTTACTATTACATAGCAAGCAACCAACACAAACAATATATCTGGCTTCAAGAATCATGTCATTGTGGCTTCCCTGGTGGCGCAGTGGTTGGGAGTCTGCCTGCCGGTGCAGGGGACAGGGTTCGTGCCCCGGTCCGGGAGAATCCCACGTGCCGCGGAGCGGCTGGGCCCGTGAGCCATGGCTGCTGAGCCTGCGCGTCTGGAGCCTGTGCTCCGCAACGGGAGAGGCCACAGCGGTGAGAGGCAAAAGAAGAATCATGTCAATAGATATGGATCTCTAGTCCCTACACTATTCCTGACAGTGGGAAGCAGAAGTAGGGTGGTCTCCATGTGAGAAACCGCCGGATCTGCAGAAACTAGAAGTGTGGTCTTCCTTTTTATATCGTTTTAGGATTGGGGCAGAGGGAACAAATAGGTATACTCTCCCAAATACTTTTAAAAGCCACTAAAAATTTGTGTCTACCTGTGCAATTTTTGTTTTTATTTTTTTAAAATATTTTTGGTGAATAATTAAAGCAAAAATTGATGTCTAAATATTTTAAGTAACAAAACATTCACATCCACATCATTCCCTGCCCCCCCCCCCCCTCCCCCAACTAGATACCAAATTCTGAAGGAGTATGTTAGGACTCTTTTGGAATCAAAATGCCCCTCTGCAACCCTTTTCACCTGGGAAAAGAACAAAATCTCTGGCTTTTAAGTTATGAGAATTATAATGCAAATAGGAACATGCTTAGTAATTTGGTATATTTGATTTCATGTGCATCTATTTATTGTGTAGTTCACAGCCAAGACCCCAAATCTAAATTTAAGGCCCATATGAAATCCAAAAATCTGGCATCTCACTCACGGGGGTTCCCATTGAATAAACTGGTGCAAAGGCAATGCCAGCATCTGTAGAACCCACACGTAGCTTGCCAGCTGTTGTGGTCAGCAAATCTCGTAATGTTGAGCCTTGTTCATTATTCTGGGACACAGGAGGTGATGTTCTGCTATTGGGAGAATCAGGGTTGTCTTGTTCTCTCTCTTCTTTAATTTGCTTTTCAAGGGCAAATTCTTTGTTTTCTGAAATAAAACATTTTACAAAATTCACATAAAATTAAACATGCTGCTAAAGTACAGACAAAGCTGGCATCCTACATTTTACAGTGAGAGATGAAAACTGTAGCACTAGTCATTTATTCACCTGAACACAGACCAGAGG